ACCTACTCATCTGGCAAACCCTTCAAGAAGCATGAAAGAAAAAGTGGTATGATTTTGTGTTTGCGTTTCCCTCGAGGAAGGACATTCTCTGCATATATCTGGGCTCAGGCTTGCTGGTGGTACTCTGGAAGGGGAATTTCCCATGTCAGGAGGAAATCAATTATTCATTCAGTGGCATGGAGGGTTGAGCACCACCCTGACAGCTGCAGAAGTAGCTCTGAGATTAAGGACAAGTATAGATGGATATGTGTCTCATATATATTCAGTTTCACCATGCAAGCCAAAGTCCTTTTGAGTGGCTCTCCATTGTCAGCGTTTACAGCAAAACATTTTAAAGAGTTCACCAGCAGTGCTGCAGGCCAATGCTTTAGTATAATGAGATTTTAGTGGTGCATTCAGCCCTTTTTAAATCTTGTTCCACTTGATATCCAACCAAAACTACCAAACGCAAATTAAGCAGTCAAGTCGCTGTTTATGCTGATAATCTCTGCCATTAAAAAGGCAATGCCCTGAATAAGAATAATAGTTATCAACAGATTGTAACACTATTATAATTGTTCAGCAAAAACTTCTCTCATGCAGCATTAGTGGATGGTTAAATGTCTCTCCCGCCCACCTGGAGTTTTCCTTTGTTTTTCTATTCTCTTGTCATGAATTTTTCATCAGCCACTTGATGAGATACTTCATGCGTTTGCCTGATACATCACAGTAAGCTGTGTTTGGATAGGGGGTATTTTCTCCTGTCCCACTGCTACATTGTTCTTTGAATACAGGAGGCAGGGTCTGTTTTTAATGGCCTTACCACAGCTTTGTCAGAATCAGAATGTCATTAGTCAAAGCAGTTTAGAGAAATGAGACAAAACGTTCTGCTAGACTCTTATGTTATTAAAAGAGTACTGCACTGATTTATATCTGCACTCCTATAACATTGTTGGACGCACAATGGACATTTTTCATTAGAAGCCTCTCCTTGTGAATAGATGGCGCCTACATTACCCAAAATGCCACCAACAGAGCGGTGATTACTATAGATTTGCTTTGCTCGTAGCAGCTAATGCAGACATGCCAGAGGCAATTAGGCGGACATTTTGGCCTTTTTAGAGAATTAGCTTGATTATTACGGTGATTATTGCAGTGAAATTTGGTACACATATTTGTTGTCCCAGAGAATGAAGAAAACCTGGGATCCCTGATGTCTGAATATCTGCAAAACTATAATGACACACCCCTCAACTGTTATGTGTCTAATGCTAATTACCATTTGTTAGCATTCTATCATGATAATCTAAAATGGTGGTCACGGTTACCATTTTACGAGACACATTGTCATTGTGTGAATGTTAGCATGCTGTTGTTAGCATTACACTCAAACAACTACTGTGCAGTACAGCCTTACAGAGCTGCTAGCATGGCTCTAGACCAGGGGGTCCAAACTACGGCCCAGGAGCCAAATGCGGCCCTCGGACCATTTTGAAGCGGCCCTCACTCAGCAAATAAAAAAAGTATGACTTAAGTATAATAAACTTCTGCTTGTCTTATATTGTACATCTTAAATATATATGTTCAAATATATTACACAGTATTCATGTGTTAAGAAAGCTCAATTTTCAAATAAATTCAGTCAATTAAAGTAGAATACATGTTCTAACAAATCTAAGTTGATAAGAAAAAAGTCCAAGAACAAATTGACATAACAACCTTGAAATATACCTTTCATGTGTTGTCTTATTATAAGCAATCTGAAGCTTCTGTTTGAAGGAATGAGCTGCTAACAAAATAAATGAAACCCCATGGAGAGCTGTGAGCTGTTTTTTTCAGCATTTTCAAGTACCAAGAATAATTTACCTACATTGGATTGATTTTTCCAACTTATAACAGAACTTATGAGGTAATAAACCTCACCCCTAGGGAGTGGCCCAGACCTGTTTATATGTTTCTGTATGTGGCCCTCGGTGAAACAAGTTTGGACACCCCTGCTCTTGACTCTTAATCTAGATTTTGTATTTTTGTATTATTTTGTACAGGATAACGATATCACACTGATCTTTAGTTTGAACAGGGATGGTTGAGGATGTGTGTAAGTGGAAAGACAACACATACAAAAAGGTGGGATGAATACAATTGAGATGCTGGCACTGCATGATGATTTGACATGCAGCAAAAACATGGTCTCCTGAACGACATACAGTTTTGTCATTCTACTAAAACAGCCCAGTTCTGTCTGCTTTGGCTCCGTGTAATTTCAAGGACAGTTAGGACTATTCTCTATGGAAAGAAATGTTTTTTTCAAACGTCCAGGTGTGATGAATAATGCCAAGTGATACTAAGACAAAAAATGAAATAAGAGAACCCAGATGTGTTGGACAAAAATCTCCTCATATTCGACCTTTCCTCTAAACTAATTTGAATCGGAGAGAATGCCGGCACAAACCAATTAGGCCTGAGGAAAGCTGGGGATAGGTCAACAGCCTGGATTTATTCTGCCTGTGCCAAAAATAAACCTGACAAGAATTAGGGCAGGAGAAAAAAGACCTGATTTGGAAAATTGTACTCTGTAGGTCATCAGGGCCAGGTAGGTGTGGATAAGTGAATGTCTTCCTCGGCACCAGTGGCTACTCAAGCAGAGATCATACTGTGTGTATGTGTGTGTGTGTGTGTTTTTTATTCTCAGACAAAATAATTTGCGCGATAGGTATGTGCTGAAGTTCGCCTGGTGCCTTGGGAAAACCTATTGATGTGAAGGCGTCCCTCCGCCTCAGAGGTCGAGAATGGAAACCAATTTATTGGACACGTGACCCGACTGTGGCGAGACCCAGTGACCTCGCTAACAATGAAGGGAAGCCTTTCAGACCCTGCTATCCCCTCTAATGCGAGTGCTGTCCGCTTGTATTAATTGTCTGAGACCTGTATGACCTGAACGGTAACCTTTTGTTGACAGATAGCCTCACAATATACTGTGTTAAAAGAGTGTACTACAGTGTACATGTAATGGTGTGTCTGCAGAACTGATTTATGTGTGTTAAGATGCTGGTGTGTGTACAGTGTACTCCTGTAGAAGTTGTCGTGAAATTGACATTGATTTTCATTAAAGAAAGATGGTGGATTTGTAAGGCCGAGGCAAGTTCAATTTGTTCAACATCTGCTCTTCATAGACTCACGATCACAAGTTTGGAGAGATATGTTTCTGTCACAATGACATTGAATAGAATAGAATATAGAATATATCTTTATTGTCATCACACATCAGTGCAACGAAATTCAGTTGGCATCTCTCAATGCAATACATAACATAAATAAGAACACATCCATAAAAACAGTGATAAAGCAGAGATAGTAGCAATAGTAATCAGGGTCATCATATGCACTTTACCAGAATGTTAAAATATATAAAGCTATAAGTTTAAATATAAATAGTTACTAAAAAAAAATATCAGTTGATACTTAATAAATATACAAATAAATAACATGGTATTTAGGCTGCAGTCTTTGATGGGAAGTAGTGTGTTTGTATGTGTGCATGTTATAGTGCGTTTAGTGGTTGGACAGGGATGGGAGTGATGGAGGCCACAGCTCTGGGAAAGAAGTTGTTCTTCAGTCTATTGGTGCATGCTTTTATTGACCTGAACCGTCTGCCAGATGGCAGCGGTTCGAACAGTGAGTGGCCGGGGTGTGTGATGATTGCACAGAATATGTGTACTGGTTTTCACTACTTTGTGGGATATTGCTGTAATAAAACCACAATAATATACCTTATTGTGTAAGAACTATATGATGAGGACCTTGCAAAACCCACCAAACATATCTATTGGTTTTGTCCTCAAAATGTAAAATCTGTTATGAAAAGCTGTCATGAGAAACTATCATCACAAAGTAAATATCATTTTCACATTTAAACATCTGAGACTTTTGTGCCAAATCATTGGTTAAAGCCATTAAATAGATCCACTCTTAAATTAATTTGCTCCAATTTGAGAGTTACTGCGCAGTTTTATAGGAGCCGAGTATTGTAAGGTATACTCAAGCTACCAAGGGAGGTCGATTTTTTGTCAGTGCGTTTATGGTGCCCATTAAAGATGTAGTCTCAATGGAAAATCTATATGTACTGTTTTGATTTGACAGAGCAGCTTTTTGCCCACCAGCTTGTTGTGATGCTATGCCCACTTTCATTAAGGCCCTTGTCAACCAACACCGCTTTTCTCCCAGCTGAAATCGCCAAGTAGGCTTTAGAAATGGTTCTGCTCGGAGCTTAAGAGCACTTAAGAGATGCAGTGTTCGTTCATCTGAGACACTTTGGGTGGATCTGGTTGCTATGATACGAATATTCACGTTAGGTAAAATGTTGTCTCAAGGCAGAGTACTTCATTTGGTTCTGGGTGATGGATTATCTATAGCCATTACATTGTTTACCTCATTGTGGTAAGACAAAATGTTCAATGCCACCAAACCAGTACTAACTAAATGTTTTTTTCTTGCCACTAGGGGGCAGTGCAAAGAAGCCCTGAACACACAACTGACATATTATCACTTTTGATGTTTTAATGACTAACTTTGTAGCAAACAGGTGGCCCTTTACATTTCCAGTAGAAAATAAGCAACATTATTATTCTTTTTTGAGTTGTTTTTATGGAAACATAATGATTTTAAGATCAATTTTCACTTTAGTTTTATCTCTGTTTGGTCTCCACCATCAATAGACTGGCTCTAAATGCCCCAGTATGTTCACCAACTAGTCTCTAACTTTGTCTGTGTGGCCTTTGGTGCTAATCAGGTGAAGTTTACATTGAGTTTTGAGTTATTTAATAGGCTCTTTCACATGCAAGTAATCACGTCACCCATTGTTAAAGCTAATGATCCAATTGGCAAACTAACAATGCGAAAGAGAGAACAGCGAAAAGATTCGGAAGGTCAAATCGTGACTTATTGGACTAGTTGAGACCATATTTAATTGTATATTTGTGTTATCAAGAGTGCATTCATAAAAAAATATGTCAACACCTGTATATGATGAAGTATCACAATTTATTACAAAAACTAGAACTTTTTCATCTGTCCGTGTTGCCATGCTTTAAGCATATAACAATACAGTATAAAATCTCAACCCAAAAGTTGGATTGTAAAAGCAAAGATCATAGATGCTGACGCAGCATTTACAGAAGTTAAGACATGCTGTTACTGTACAGAGAACATTCCCATTGAAGTACAAACATCTGCAAAATGTGTCAATATCATCAACAAATTGCATTTTACAATAAACAATCTAATCCAACCTCATTCAAAGGGTTACTTACAAGAAACACTTATTTTGAAATAAATGTACATGAAAATAAACACAAACACTCTGCAAATCATAATGAATGTGCTGAGATTTCTTTTTTCAACAGCCCAAGGCACTCAGGCTTGAATGTTGGCAACAAATACGTCATTCTTTACACAAAATCACGTCAAGCAGGTGGTGAGAGAGAAAGAATAGTGAGCGAGAAACAACGTCTTCTTTTCATGACCTCTTGAAGAGGACGTTCCTTTTAAAGAAGTCCACCTTGTCTTTTTTCACAGTGAAAATCCCTGGCAGTCGTGACAGAAAAGACGTTTAAAGAAGTCAGTAGTTTTTTTGAATTGCGTGACATCTGTTTGCTAAAAACTACATGACCTCCTACTCTATTTGTGATGCTGGCCTGACATGTTGGTCTTCGAGAGCATCCTTTTCTCTCTGGAGCGATATCGGCTGCTTTTTCCAAACCATAAGCAGGTTTGATGGTGCATTCAAGCACCACAGGGTGCCAAAAGTGTCCATTTCCAGTGACCTGTCCCACATGAGTATGTGGTAAAAATCTATCAAGTGTCCGCAAATGATGCTTTCGGATATCTATAACAAATCCCAGATGCTATTCATTGAAATAATCCTGATCTTTCAAATTAGTTTACCGATGCTGTGACAACAAAGTGGCTTTAACAAATGCATTTATCTTCTCCTCCCTGCAGTTCAGTTGAGCTGGCGACAAGCTTCAAATGTCCACTTCGAGGCTCCTCCGTAAATATCAAGGTTTGTCTCCATCCACGCAAAAACGTTGCCCACTTGCGCTTTGCTGCTGCACGTCGCCAGATTGTAAATCTCTCCCACCGATAGTTTTCGATCCCAGATGTGAAAATTTGCCAGGTCTCCGACGAAAGCTTGTGTGGCGTCATATCCTCCTCCCAGTGTGTCCTGTGGAAGAGACAAATGGATTTAATCAAGGAGGATATGATTGTCCTCCTCCGGGTGCTTTGTGGAAAGAACCACATTGATTAAATTGAACACGGCATCTTCAATCCACTGGGATTCTTGTTGAGTTCCAGTTAAATATCATATCACCTTATTAAACCTATGATTTACAACAAGGATTGATTTGAAAATTGAAATCTAATCTCTTTTTCACAATGAAATAAAAACACTGTTGGCTTTTAATAATCCCAATGCATTGTGTCCTGCCCCAACATCCTGATAAAATGAACAAAGCAGTGCAGATGTTGTCCAAATGTACTTTAATGCTGCTTTTAATAGAAGTAGAAAGTATTTAAAAACCATGTGCTTACCTGCTCTTGCCCAAGGATCAGCAGGCCATGTGGTTTGATAGGATGATAAGGTGCCAGATTCTCTCCACTCCCCCTCTTGACACCATCTTGGAAAGCTTCCCAAACACCATCACGAGTGGTCCATGTGACGCAAATGTGATGCCACTTTCCGTCATTGATAATGAAAGGCAGTTTAGCAACCTAGAAAGAGATACATGTGACGTGAATGTTTGCTGCAGTGAGCCCTTGAACACTCGCAGTTTTAAATCAATACACGGCAATACTTCTACTGCGTGTCACACATGCCTTGTCATTGATCAGTATCTCCATAGCGTTGTTTCCCCACTCGATGAGGACCAGCTCGTTGGCTTGACCCGGAACTGCGTAGGAGAAAGGTGTGCCCACTCCTGGAGAAGCGTTGGATTTGAGCCACATGCAAACAGTGAGGGCGTACATCTCTGGCAAACTCTTCTTCACTTTTGCGTACATGTAGTTGGTTCTCAATGGAAACGTGAGCTGGAATTTATCCAGAGGCCTGTTGTCTCTCTGACCTGTGGAGAAGGAATGGTTGGCTTAAAACACGTAGAAAGGGAAGCATCTGTTTTCACACATCATTTCCAATTCACATATCCTGGGGATTTACATACTGCAGGAATTACATGATGTTACACAACAAATCCAGCAGATGTGCTTTAATCTCCCATAATACATCTACCACATGGAGGACGTTGTTAACCTTCAGCTCGTTTCCTTCTGCTGCCACATCTCTTTCTATTCTGTTTTACTGCCATGAGTACATTTTTTTTTTTTTTTGCAGTATCAGCGCTGTCCCAACGAGAACATCTTCTCAAATGGCTCACAGAGACATAAGGAGGGATGGGTCTCTCTCTGTGTGTTTGAAATGGTTGAATCTGCATGAATTAGATCAGGAATCTGCAGAATAAAGCGGGCTGCTTCAGCTTTGTGTGCGGATGAGTATGTAATATGCTAAGGTGATTTTTCTGGTGCATTCTTCATCGCTTACAAGATAAAATAGCTTGTCTTTTTCCCTGATAAGAATCATGCATCAATTTTCACACCCACCAAACCCTGTTAAATCTCCTTTATACTTTTTGTACGCAAGCCTCTTTTCCCAATTACCTTTCTCCAGGTCGGTGATCCTCTGGTGGAGAGATGTGAGCGTGGACTCCACTCTCCCACGCTGCTCCGTCTCATTCCTCAGCGTGGGTTTCCCCTCCTCGATGTTGTTCACCCGGGACAACACCTGCTTCTCCAGGTCGTCGATTTTATTCTGGAGCAGGTCTTTGAGGCTGTTCGCCTGAACCGAGTTGTTACTTCTGCTGAATTGCTGTTGGGGGGGGGGGGGGGGGGGGGGGGGGGGGAGAAGCATTACACTCATATAAGGGTTAGGAGCGAGGACAATACAATACAGATGTACTTTTTCTATGCAGTAAAGAGAAACTTAATATGTATTTTGATGTGCTTAAAAAATTGCACTTTTAATGTAACACTGGCCATCAGAGACCCAAATGAACTATTATTGTTATATTAGTGGAAAAAAAGAGTTTGAGTCATAATTTGCGCACTGTGTGTAAATATCCCCAGAAAGCAGCAACCTACCTCCAGGTTTTCTAATCTCTGCTTCAGCGACTGTAAAGTCTGTGATAGTTGCGCCAAAGTGTCCGCGGGGCCCCTCGATACATCCCCCATAGTGTTTTTGCTCCCGGGTTCTTTCCTCCTGCCTCCGGGCTCGGCGCCGCTCTGACTCTCGCACCGAGACAACTTTGAGGTCAGTTCTCTGATCGTCTCCTTCTGGTTCATGATCGTCTCTTTCTGCTGCAAAACCGTTTCCCGCAGCTGCATAACAGTGGTCTTCAAGTCGTCCCCCGGCACGCTGTTCTGCAAAGTGGCTGCGCAAATGTCCATATCCTTGGGTACGGACGTGCAAATGAACTGCGTCTGTGCGCCAAAGTCTTGAGACGAACTCTCCAAAAACAGGCATGAACATAGAAAAAGTCTCCAGCAGATTCCCATCCTGGCGGCCTGCATGTCTGCGTCCGTGCTGAGTGGTGTTTGGATGATGAGCCGCAGTGGCTTGACGCGCTCCTGTCCCCTTGTTGTTGTAATCCGTCTGGAGAAGTGCAGCCCGCTTTTATACAGCGAGCTGGTTCTGCGCAGAGCTGGTTCACTGCATCACGACCGGAGGGGAGGGAATTGCGCTGCCCCTGTTTAATCTGCTCCAGGAGCCGCGTCACATTCAGGAGATGAAACCCATTTCGCTTTCAGCCTCCCTCACGTTAAATCTTTCATCATTTTTCGACTATTTGTCATTCCTCGCTGTGTATATTATTCATCTGGAAAACGGACATTTGTATGCAGTGAAGTGGGGTTGCTTGCGTGGTGGGTTGCCATGAAAGAAAGCTGTGTTTGTTTGGTTTTGCGCACACAGAAAAGTCGCTCTCACACACACACACACACACACACACACACACACACACACACACACACAACACACACACACACACACACACACACACACACACACACTCTGTAAGTGGTTGCAGATCAGAAGTTACTGCAATTCGTTGTCGGTGGATTCCCCGCAGATGCAGCACAATGGAGAGCTCCGACCACATCACGTTATCACGGAGAGCATGCTGCTCAGTTGTTGGTGATGTTTTCACTTTCTTTAGCTCAGTGTGCAGCATTACTCTGTGAGAATACTACATTAAATACCCATTTTATTGTTTTCATTCCTTTCTATTTTTTTATTCTTATCTCTCAGGTCAAACTCATAGCTAAGGTATCCACGCACACGCACACACGCACGCACACACACACACACACACACACACACACACACACACACACACACCCACACACACACACACACACACACACACACCACACACACACACACACACACACACACACACACCACACACACACACACACACACACACCTTACTCCCTTCCTCTCCTGCAGTGGAGATCTCCTCTCCACATCACTGCTATAATCACCTCTCTCAGTTTCTCAAATGATAATCTGTCCCTGAGCAATTTACCCTATCTATTATTCAGGAAGGACAATTTTATTATTTTTCCCGTTGCCCACTCGGTTCTTATCTATACGGGTCAATGTTGAAAATAAAATGAAAACATTTTGAATAAGTAATGAAAACATATTGGCTCTCAGATTAAAATGGATTTCTCTTGGAAAGATTAACACAGGGAGAGGTACAGCGCATGAGACTAAAATCTGCATGTGACAAAGGGATAGAGAGAGGAGGTTAGGTGGGTCACAGTTTAATTATTACATGTATAGCAGGTCTGTAAAGCTAAATGCTTTATAGCTGCAGGTGCCTTTTTACTGGATATTAACAATAAATAGTAGATTAAATTATTTTCAGATATAGGTGTTGGTGGAATATAATGTATTACTGTACACATTTAATTAGCGACTGATAATGGACCTAATGATTTGTGACATTTTGATTGAATACTTTACCATTGCATAAATATTGATTCATCCTGAACTCTCATATCTTATTTTTTAGTTAGGTAACCATTTTTGGATTTAAGGAAGTTATTACGTGATGATCTTAAAGTACATTAGGCAAAGTAAAAAGTGATATAATATGTGACATTGTTTTTTGAGCATTAACAGATTGTTTATTTGACGTCTCCTGTGGATTAAGTTACACTTTAATGACGCAGCAATATCTAAGAGGAATGAAAATGCTGGGAGGTTTTAGTGACTTTACTCTGTCTCGTAATCCAGAGTTGAAAGACTTTTTTGATTTCATGAAAAACAAAAATAAAGCTTACGGGGGCAAGAGGAAGTCATTTTTTGGAGGCTTTTAAGTGTGGCATAACGTAAAAAAGGGCTGAAGGGCTGCTATCCTAAATACTTTGCAAACAGATGGATGGAGTTATACAGGAAACTCAGGTGCAAGATCAACACCAAGAAGCAGTTATATTTGTAAATGTAAAAAGCAGTAACCCCCGTACACAGGCAGAGGTCTTATTGCTTTTGGGTAAAAATAAATACACAGAAGTGTAAAAGCGCGCTGACCTTCAAGAGCAATACATGCGAGTAAACAACTTCTTCTTTTCACTAAATCAACCATCTGGTAAATGTTTGCGGTTTATCATAACACTTAGTAGACCAAAGGTTTCCATATCCTTGCAAAGGGGATTTAATATCGCCATCCAACATTTTGTGAAGCTTAATGAGCAGAAGACAGACAACCAAAAGTAGTTTTTAGTTTGGCTTGAGTCTATCCTTCTGTCTATAAAAAGAAAAGACATCTTCTAGCCTGTGGGAAAGTAGCGCTGCAAAATGTCCAAAGTCTATCTCTCATTATGAATTCATTATTTAGTGCTTCCCACACAAACAAGTCTAAAAGCCATATGCTTAAAAAGGAAAACCTTCACTTCTCTCCGCCACTCAGACTCTACCTCTCTCCATCACCTACTGTACTTCTCCCGCATTCCTCCCCTCCTCTCCTCTCCTCCTACAGGCATTAATAACAGACTGCTGTTCTAGCATATCCAGTCGCTCAAATGAACATTTTCCTCTGAATGCCGCAAGTTCACCCTGTAAGCATATTGAGTTACACTGTGGTTAAGAAAAAAAAAAACCACTGTAACAGCTGTTGAATTTCTAATGTTGTTAGCCGTGGTGTGCATGAAATAATAATGGGGTTTGGATGGAATTATTATTTGTTGTTCCAAGTCACTGTGCTAGACATGACGGCACAACAATCTGTGACACTGGAGATACTAATCTCATACACACAGCTGCCAGTAGCTCTTATCACAATCTTCCACGCTATAATGCCTCGGTGCTGTGAGAGCTGCTGCCGGGCCGCCCTCCACCTGTTGTGGTGAACAGTATCTCCTTAATAATGCATTCAAACACACTGGAAATGCTTTCTCCAGCACACGAGATCAATAGCTGTAATTTCGCAGGTTGGCATTCTGCCTTCACTGGCTTTCTCTCTCTGACTTCTTCCTCCTCCCAACCTTCTGCTGTGGTGTGGTGACGGACATTAAGGCGGAAAACATCCAGTGATTGTTAGTTGCTTTTTGTCTGTTAAGGCTGTGTATAGAATAACACAACACTTAAAAAGGCCCTATTATGCTTTTTGGGGATTACCCTTTCCTGTAGGTTTTGTTATGGGGTTTTGTGCATTAATAACAGACTGAATGGATGCAAAGGCTAAAATCCCAAATCGCCTCTAAATTGGGTTTCTCTTCCATGTGGCTCCTTTGTTTACCTCCGGGACATAATGACACACACAATCACAGCTAACCAATCAGAGCAGACTGGGCTCTGGTTTCAGACGGAGGGTGAAAAGAGGTCATCACAGGATGTATGAGAAAAATAAAGACCTTTTTGAACAATAAAGCAGGTCAACCTGTCACAATAGAGGCAATAAATACTAATATGAAACCTGAAATTGAGCATAATAGGGCTCTTTAAATACTGTAAACTGAACATTTTATCTTAGTACATACTGTCATTAAGGTTTGAGTTGGATTCCATGTTGCCTTTTATAAATAGATGTTTTTACCAAAGAAAGAGGCACTGTTTTATATTTAAATGATAACACCACAACGCTCTATATTGTAACTTCAATTTCCAACAGCCTCACTCTTTTTTTTATAATTCTATGTTTTTTATTTTCAATGATAAATGATTAGATATTTTTCCAATTTTAGATTTGGTTCAGGCACAGGATGTGGTTATCCTTTGCTGAATGAAAAATGTTTGTAATAATCCTCACTGTGAGGTATTACAAAAAAAGCATTATCATTTTGGTATCTCTGAAAATACATCTCGCACCGGTATTGAAAAAGTTTAAACAATACCCAGCCCAAGTGCCATTTAATTCCAAGCAAACCATAATGGTAAAATGTTAATAAAAGCATTATTATATTTCTGCAATTCAGCTGTTTTAAAATTGGTGTTCTGGTTTCTGTCTTTTGGATTGTTTTCAAATGTTGCAATCATCATTTTTTGATCTAACTGAGCATAAAAACATTGGAGACTCAAGGCTGTTAAAAACACAGTTAGCAGGACATTTGTATGGTTTGTCAGATCAGTAAAAAGACTCTGATGAATCCAGGAGACATTTAGCAGTGATACACATTCAATCACAGATAATTAGCTGCATAGCTACAATGTAAAGATATGGAGTGAAGCGCTGAGGATCTCAGAGGTCACCAACACTTAATGCTCCCCATGTCAGTGTAACCACTGTGTGGAGCTGTCTCTGATAAATACTGACGGTATTATCATTCCTCTGGACAAAAGCCTAATTAGGCTGCCTTTCCAGAGAAGGAAAACAGCTGCCATTTTGGGGTCACTGGAACTTAAGTATGCAGTAGCTCGATAGAGCGAGGGAAATGTCATGCAGTTGCCAGCACCGCGTAAAAAAAAAGTAGCCCAGGGAGGCTAATTAAGACAAAGACATTTATAATCATAACATCCGATCACTAACCCATTTTTTGTTATTTCCCACATGCTCTCCAGATGGAGTTCTTCGCACAGTATGGTTGCTGTCCTTATGTTTTATTAAAGGTTGTGATTTAATTATCGTTCCTTTTTGCACAAGCTGAGTGCCTATCTGAAATTGATACAATGCATCATCTGACATTGGCATAGTTTTCTGTGCCGATGCGACTCTGCTGTCCTCTTGCTGAAGATGATGAAGAAATAACAATGTGCACATGGAGGTCTTTTTTCTTTGGTATCTCATTACCCTGAGTATGTGATGATTGGATACAGAATCGCCAAATGTACTGTTGGGCTTGGGCTTTTACAGCTCACTCATTCATCCTTTATATTTTCTGATCTAATCTGCTGTGAGACGCATTCTCAGCACTCACTACTGTATTCATGGAGAGCTTTATCATCTCATATTTGTATATGAATAAGCTTCTTGCAATGTGCACCTTTGATTGCCTTTGCTGTCTTGTACATGTTTGGACAAGATCTATGTCTGTCTTTCTTCAAATGATATCCGATTGGCACTTTTTTATTTCTTTAAAACAGCGGATAGATAGAAAAACCACTATGTTCATAAATATAGGCACTCCACCAATATTA